GAATCAATAACTGGGATCACTTCTTATTAAAAAGTTTATGCATGTCAAAAGACATCTCTAGCATAGTCAAAAGAAAACCCACAAACTGGGAAAAAAATCTTAGTGAACTGTCCCTCAGCCAAAAGACTTCTGTCTAAAACATATGAAGAATTAAAAAAAAATAGATCCCCCAAATTCAAGGACCCAATCCAAAAGTGGGCATCTGAGATGAATACACAATTCTCATGTGCAGAAATACAAATGGAAAATACATACATGAAAAATTGTTCATCATTATTACTCATTAGAGAAATGGAAATTTAAACCACACTGAGATTCCATCTCATTCCTGAAAAATGGCCAGGATCAAGAAAACTACCAACAACAAATGCTGGAGAGGCTGTGGGGAAAAAGGAACTCTCCTGCACTGTTGGTGGGAGTGTAGACTGGTGCACCCATTGTGGAGGTCAGTCTGGAGATTTCTCAAAAAGCTGGGATTGGAAATCCCATTTGTTCCAGCTATTCCACTTCTAGTCATATTCCCAGAAGAACTGAAAACATCATACCACAGTGATATATGTGCACCCATGTTTATAGCAGCACACTTTGTAATAGCCAGATCTTGGAAACAGCCTAAGTGTCCATCAACTGAAGAATGGATAAAAACGTTGTGGTATTTTTATACAGTGGAGTACTACTCAGCTATAAAGAATGATCACATCGAGATATTTATAAATAAATGGACGCAGCTTGAGACCATACTCATAAGTGAAATAAATAAAACTCACAAGTATAAATGCTGAATAGTTTTCCTAGTGTAAGAAATGGTAAGAATACATAAAAGTATGTGGTAATCATGATTCTCCATTATATGGTTTTGAAGTATTATAATGTTTTCATTCATCAGTTGGAATGGTTTCATTCTGGGTTGTTTGATTTTATTGTCGCTGATGGTATGAACAGCTATTTTGAAGAAAACAAGATATTATAATAGCTAGTGCTGATTTAACATCATCTTCTTTTGAAGTCCCAACAAGCTTTTGTTCTTCTGTCTCCATTGGTTTTATCATGTTGTATCTTATTGGATTTTACTAGATGTGATAGTATAAACAAAAGTTTTTATGGATAAGGAGATAATACAGTAACCATTGTTCATTTTCTGTTTAGTTGGTTCTGAATACCCTGTAATACTTTCATTCTCTTGAACGGTTTTATACTGACTTGTTATGTTTGATACTATAGTATATGAAGGTATCCTCAAATATTTCAAGGAAAGAGACCTTATGGTAGCTACAGTCATGTCAGGTTGTCTTGTAGTGAAACACTATGTTGCTTAAATTGTTCTGTTCTGACCTGTTTTGTTGTGTCCTCTTTTATCTGAATCGTTTTTTTAAAATTAAAAAAAGAAAGAAAGAAAAGGATTATGGTAACTATTGTTGATTTTGTAATGTTTTGAAGTCATGTATATTTTACACTAGTTAGTTTTGATTGCTTTTATTCTGTTTTATCTTTAAAATTAAAAAAATTTTTTTTAAAAAAACCTAGTGATGTCCAACTGCCACTCACTAGCTCACAGTTACATGAGCTGGTGTTTTGGGGTGAGCACAGGCTCACTGGTTTGAGTGAGGCCTCTCATTGCTCCGTGGTCCTCCCCAGGGAATATCTGGTCTCACATGGCTAGGCTGAGAGGCTTCCTGTCCCAGGACCTGGCTTGTTCATAGGCAGCAGGGTTTCCAAGAGCAGCAAGCACGGAAACTGTCAGGTTCCTGAGACTCAGACTCAGACCCAGTATGTCACTTCTATGTTCCTTTCTTGGTCAAAACAAATCAGAAGAGCACCCCAGAGTCCAAGGTGAGAAAATAAGCTCTGCCTGTTAGTTCAGAGGGTTTTAAAATACTAAGCTTTGTTGTAATCTCTCACACCTAAAGGGCAGTTTTTGGATTGTATCATACACGCATGTTTAATCTCACTGATCTTGTAAAATTGTTTTCCAACGTAACCACAGTGCAGTTACCCAGTCTGATGACTAAAATCAGTCTGAAGGCTCAAGGCTCCTCCAGCACCCACTGTCCTGCCTGAATCACTTTCCTTCTCTTAATTTTAAAGAGAAAAAAAGACAAAAATAACAATGAAACAAAGATTCAAAACAGGTTAACAGGACAGTTATCATAATTAATACATTGCGTGTTGTTTTAGAATTAGCTTTTCAAAGTACAAGGTATCCTGTCCAAACAATATTAGCATAACAGTTTCTTCCCAGATCATCATATCTACTGTTCATTTTGGATCTTATTTACTCATTCAATTTCTCACACTAGTGAGCCAAGATGATGTTTACACATATGAGTCTGATTTAATTCACTTATGGGTGTGGCCTCAAGTTACCATTTATCTATAAAATCTCCAGTTTATCCTTCTTTATGGCCAAGTAGTATTCCATTATATTGAAATACCACATCTTTTTATCCATTCCTCAGTTGATGGGCATTTAGGTTGTTTTCAAGATCTGGCTGCTATGAAATGGGTGTGCATATATCACTGTGGTATAATGTTTTTAATTCTTCTTGGAAGATACCCAGAGAGGCAACAGCTGGGCCAAATGAGGCCTCCCATCCTAGGTTTTTGAGCAACCTCCATACTGATTTCCACAGTGGTTGTACCATTCTACACTCCCACCAACAGTGGAAAAGGGTTCCTTTTTCCCCACAACCCCTCCAGCATTTGTTATTGATTGATTTCTTGATGACAGCCACTCTTTCTGGGATGAGACAGAATCTCAGTTTTGTTTTAAGTTGCAAATCTCAACATTTTTTTTCATATATTTCTTTGTCATTTGTATTTCGTCATCTGAGAAGTGTGTATCCATCTCAAAAGCCCACTTTTGAATTGAGTCTTTGAATTTGGAGGGTCTGATTTTTTTCAGTCTTTTTTATATGTTCTGCATAGAAGTCCTTTGTAAGAGGGAAAATTGAGTATAATATTTTCCCACTCTGTGGGTTGTCTTTTCAGTCCGTTGGTGATTTCTGTTCTTGTGAAATAGCCTTTTAATCAGGTGAGATCCCATTTGTTGATTCCTTGTAATATTTCCCCTGCTCTTCCCGTATCTTTCAGCAAGTTGTTAATATCTCTAGATTTTAATTTTCTCATGTGTGAGAGATACTGGTCACAAAACTGCATACCTTCAGCATGCACAGACTATACTGGAGCCTGTGGTTTAGCTCTCACTGTAAACTGCAAGGCTGTGGAATAGTTCTTGGCATAGAGGCAGGAGCTACGGTGGGCAGCGGGTGCAGTTGCCAGTGAAGAACCCAGCCATGGCCCGCTAGATGAGAGCAGAACGCCCGGGGTGTTGGCTGAATCCGCAGCCCCAGCATTGCAAATCCCATGTGAGGCTCTTTTGGGCCTTAGGCAGCCTTTCTGGAACAACCTCTATAATTAAATTAGGTCTGTGTGAAAAATTCTGTGCTTTCCTGTCTGAAGATTACCCTCCTTTTCTACCCTGGATCCTCTGTTTCCTGTGGAAACTCATACACATAAAGTGAATTTAGCTTACCAGGAATCTATGTCAAACATATCTATTAAGTTTTCACAAATAATGGACTTCTTTCTATAATATTTTACATCAAAACTTGGCTGTCCTTGGTTTCTTTGGCAGTTAAGTAGAACTCTAAACTACAGCGCTTTATGGCCAGAGGGAAAGGTCGTATGTGAATGGGTAGACAGATAGCAGAAGGAGGGGAATAGAAATAGAGGGAAAGAAAATGTAGATTAAAGAGTTGGAAATATCACACATATCTAAATAAATTTTCTTATTTCCAGGTTACCAGATGGCCATCCTGGAATATTACACTGCATGTGTGTGTGTGTGTGTGTGTGTGTGTGTGTGTGTACGTGCATATGAAAAACTGCACACAGTCTGTTGACAAGATTATGCTATTTGTGTGTGTGTATGTGTGTGTGCGTGTGTGTAGTTTTTAGGAAATTATTGGAACTATCCATGAAGGTAAAATTCATGTGCCTGAGAAGCAGTTGTTTGTTTGATTTTTGAGAAATAGATTTGAGGCTTAGTTCTGTGTCTGGTGCCAAGGGCTCAGAGATTTACAGCCTTTCATCTGGTTAATAATGATGTTATGGATTATTCAACTTAGGAAGGATGCTGTTGTATTCAGGGTTAGCAGGAAATAGACTTACTTATAATTTATAGGATTATTTTTATAATATTCACTCAAAAAGTCAAATGCAGAAGAAGAAAAGAGATCTGTCCACACACTAGAGACTCCAAAAATCCAGTTGAGGATCTGGATCCCATGGCAATGTACTGCATGAGTCCAGCTGAAGACCTAGAGCCCACGACAATGTCGCATGCAAGTCTATATCAAGGATCTGCACTGGGAAGATCCAAAAGTCAGTGGAAACGAGGAAGTCTGTGCCAACAGGATGAAGGATCTATGCCAGCAGTTTGAGGGATCTGCACTGGAGCCAGGAAGTGATGCTCAAGTTAAGGACCAGAACTCCTCTAAAAAGAACTGCAGACATCCTCAATTTCAATGAGGTTCTGGGCTCCTCTTTTGATGAGAACAGCTGAGTTTATATCAGGAAAGTCAGCATGACAAGCTTCTCCAGGAGAATCAACAGTGCACCATCTTTTCCTCCAGTTCTCCATTTATCCTGTTGGCAGCAATCCTCAGGTGGGCCTTCCATGCCCAGCACCACACTGATTCAGTTCAGCTGGGTGTTACAAGTTGACCATTAAATTGCCACAGATACTAAACTGAAAAAAATATAATATGCAAGATTGGCTTAACAAGTGGTCTAAAAGGAGAAATAAGAACTGGCTTTTGAAATTTAAAAAAATTTTATAAATTTGTTTTTATTTTAAAGATAGTAAAATCCAACAAAGCAAAACAGAACAAAGCCAATTAAAACAAAGCAGCCAAGTTGGTACAGAGCTTCAAAGCAGGATACTAACAAAACAACATTAGCTACCATAGTATATTTTGTTTTCTTCATGATAGTTGTCCATTTCATCAAATACAGCAAAATCAAACCAAAACCAAAACACAATAAAATCAATCAAAACAGAATAGTCAGTAAAGCAAAACAATCAGATCAAAGCAAAACAGGGAGAAAATGTTGGATTTCAAAGACAAGGTAGAAGGAAATAGTTCATACTTGCTATATTTGCATATTGTCATCCTCCCAAAAGATGCTCAGATTGTTGGTCCCAGGCCTGCAAAAACAACCAAACAGTACAAGCATTTAGTGGCTTTAAGTACCTTAGTTGCTATCAACTCAACCTGTCCTCTTAACCAGCAGGTTGCTTGCAGTGGGGGCTTTGATTCTCAGACCACACACTGGTAGGCACAGAATAAGCAAGAAGCTCAGACTCTTCCTGGGAGCAGCACAGCTTGCAGGCTTCCCAAAAAGGCTGGCAGGCTGGCTTCTTGTTGGATCCTCCTACTACCAGTGTGGCAGATTCTTGGCCCTGACTTTTCTCATATTTTTCAGACTATATAAGCTATTAATAATACCTAATAGATCACATCAGTGCAAAAGATAGTCTATATAAGTTAACCACTTCTAATATGAAAATCAGAAATGCTACAACATCCAAAGCTTTTTGAGCCTGAGCAAAATGTTTCTGAGTTTTGATTTCAGATTTTTCAGTTAGAGATATTCAACAAGTAGAGTCTACACAGATATTCTAAAATCTAAAAATCTAAGAAAGTAAAAACCTTGTAGTCACAAGCATTGTGGTAGGGGCTATTTAACCTGTACGTGTGTTCCCTGTGTTACATTATTTTTTGGAGAACCGTTTACATGGCATCTCTTCAGCAAGCATGTAGTCTGAAGTGAGGAGAAACCTGCATACTTCTGCATTAATCAGAAATCACCCAAAGCCAGCTGTTGGTGTGCACTCTGAGAGGCTGAGGCAGGAGAATCACAAGTTCAGTCTCAGTCTAGGGATTTTAGCAATTTACCAAAATAATAAAGAAATAAACAAATAAAAGGCTAATTATGTAGCTTAGTGAATAGACTCTCAGAACAGGAAAAAAAACATATTAGAAAAGTCCATTTTTCTCTAGGTAGGTAGTTTTACTCTGTACATCTTCTTTTCACCAAGGAAGGGAAACCGAGTGACTGCCTTGGGCAATGCCAGGGTCGTCCTCCACCCCTTTGAAGGCCTCAGCTCTGCCTAGCCGCTGGGTCTAAGTGTGCTCGCTGCAATCACTTCCTCCTGGAGCTGTCCCCTTGGTCTCTTGTGATTCTCCACCCACTACTGAGTACTTGGAAGAGACCAAATGTCATTAATCTGATTTCTCACAGCAGATGCCTTTTCGGAGAGCAGCTAAAGCCTCACTGGATCTGGTCCTTGAGACGGCTGTTTTGAATTTTTTAAGAAATGTGGCAAGTTGTGACTTTTGGATTTGGAAAGAGACCAGGTAAATTACACTCGAAATTACACTCCAAGCTGCCTTCCTGAAAGGATAGTAATTGCGGAAGACATCCTCTCCGGAGCTGTCAAAATTGACGATGCTCAGCAGGCATTTGTGACCGAGGTGATGGTAGATCTGTGTATGGATTGAGTACAGAAATAGCCTTCACGCACCTCTGAGTTACTAAGCAGCCACTGTGGGTCCTTTAATAACGGGAGCTGTGCAGCCACAGTTGTGATAGTTCATGGGAAATGCAGCATCTCCTTCTTCAAAAGGAGTTGTTACTCTATCCACTGGGGCAGGCTATTAAAACTAGCTTCAGTGGTGGCCAGAGAATTAAAACTGCTTCCTGTGTAACTTAGCTGAAAACCAGAAATTCTGAAACCACTGGAAGCATCAAGGGTCAATAGTCCATCAAAGAACATTGACTTTTTGCAAATCAGTTAAGATGATTTGGCTGTCTTTAAAATCAGAGACACTTCATTCCCCATAGTGACTCACCTGCCATGTTGACTGGTGTGATTTTAAGAAAAAGATTTTGGCTCAGTCTCAGCATTCTCATCTATGAAATGCAGATAGCCACAACTTTTTGCTTTCTTGTTGTGAACCGTAAATGAAACATCACATGTAAAGTATTGTGCACTCAGCCATATGTGTGTGCTCACGTGTATGTGGATATCTGCGTCAAATATGTGACTCAGAAATCTCTTTTTCTATGCAACTTTTGCCTCCCCTTATTTCCACACTTGGCACTTCCCAGGTTTTCTTTCAGCTCACAACTTTTCTCAATCATCTGCATCACCACAACTAACATCTTACTGTCTGGTGACCACTTAACCCAGTCATAATGGGTTGATGTATAGAATTAAGTATCACACATTTTGTTAGGTATGAATGGAGTGGAAGCAACTTCATTCTCACTGAAGGATGTGCCTGTGGTCAGAAGATGAAACAAAGATCCGAGGCGGGATTTTTAAGTTCTGTCTTGTCTTTCTTCTTCAGATGCAGTTGATATATTTGTCAAAGAAAGTCCTCTGAAAAGCTGGGATGATGTGGGGCTCGTGATGTGCTAAAAAAGCTGGGGTAGGAGGGCCGTAGGTTCAGAGTGCTAATGCTAATGCTAATGCAGAATCAAAATTGGAACTCTTGAAAGAACAGTGTAATCCATAAACCCAAGGCATTTGTAGGTAGATGGACGGTTTGGTCCATCATAATGTGGAGTGAAAGAAGACAGACACACGGGCCGGGGATTTAGTCCAGTGGTGTAAGCACCTGCCTGGCAAGCGAGACATCATAAATTCAATCCCCGGTATCAAAAGAAAAAGAGAGACTCACAGGTTAACATGCCACATGGCTTCTCTTATATGACTTCTATGACATGTGTCCTATATATGGAGAATGGGATCTAGATGATAAAGAGGGAGAGAGGAAATAGGGAGGTTTTTCAAATGGGTGAGAGAATACCTATTTGAAAGGAGAGAACAGGATTGGAAAACAAGTGACAAAAACAGCACTTTTGCAAATAGGAAGGGGACCCAAAGCTGGTAGAAGCAGGAAGGAAGGGGAAGGACAGTAGACGAAAAGGAGAAACAGGAATTAAGGAGCGTTATGTATGTGTACCAACTCCCCACACTCACTACAATCACTTTGAACTACAAGGATATACTAATAAAGAGTGAAGTCACTTAAAAATACCTGATTTGTAATTCAAAAGCCAGTGAATCTTCATTTGAGTCTTTGAAAGGCTGGATTTCTTGGCACAACTGACCAGTCAAGGCTGTTACACAGCATTCATTGGTTGAGCAACAATGGGGAATGTAGCATTCCACGTCCCTTACCCTAAGCCAGGACTCCCAGGGAGCCAAAGCCAAGAAAACCTGCTGAACATCAGCGAGCAGTGCTAGGTCTGAGCACTTTCCTCACAGCCTGTGCCAGGCACCTCACTCTCTGCACCCTGCTCTTGGTCTCACTCTGAGTACATACACAGGGAGCTTAGACTCAGCTGAGTAGGGAGGGATTTCAGGAAAGAAAACCTATTTTAGGGCCCAAAGGGAATTTAGATATCATCTCCATTCTTCTTTTCTCAATGGAGAGGTCCACAGAAGACAAAGCAATTGATCAAGTTACAAAATGGCCAGAGTCTATGGCCAGAGTGCGGTGTGTCACTGTCCAAGGACAGCTGGGGAGCCCTGCAGTCTGCAGCACAGAGTGTGGCACCTGGTCGTGGAGTTGCAGCCCTGTACAATGCAGTCACACTGCACACCTCTCCCTCTGGTGGTGATAGATGCTTCCAGAAAGACAGAGAAGGGAAGAGAGGGGAGTGGCAAGGGAAGAGGAGGGGTAAGTTTTATAGATGCTACACCTGGTGCAGGTATTGCAAGGAGAGGGCCGAAGCATCATCCATCTCACTTCATCTTCAAAATACCCAGCAGGGAAATATTTTATCCTTATTTAAATCCTGAGCAAGCTGAACTTAAATGACTGAGTTAGTGAGAGGTAGAGCTGGGGTTTAGGCAAGGCTCTCAGGTTCTCTATCAGTTAGTGACAGTTTGGCTGCAAATGAGAAAAAACCCAAACTCATGAGCCAGAGGATTTGTTGTGTCATAGAACAGCACAGGCCAGAAGGAGCCCTGGCTTTAACTCAGCTGAATCAATCTTTGAGCCTTCGCCTCCCCTTGTCTCTCAGTTCTGCTCTATTGCTCTCAGTTCTGCTTTGTTTTTCAGCTATTCCAGGCTAGCATCCCACCAGGTTCAAGTCCAAAAGAAAAAAAAAGAAGAGTGTGCAGTCCCAAGGGAGCACCAGACTGCATCTCATTGGTTTAAGTGAGTCACGTGCCTAAGCAAACTATTACCATAGCCTAAGAGAATGCTCTGCTGGCCTGCCTCAGGTTACAGGCTTGCTGCCAAAGCCACAGGTCATGTGAGGACCACCTTGGCACACGGTTTGACAATGGAGGGTTTATCACTCCCTGATGTCACCAAAGATGTGTGGCTGAGAGATAAGCAATGTGGCTGGCACTGCAGGCTTCTCCACATGATGCTGTTTCTAAGACCCAGAAAGAACCTGCTAAAGGAAACCAGTAGGGGACTGCACGTAGCTGCTGGTAAAATCATCTGAGTTTCAGTCCCCATTAGATTTGAACCACCAGGTAGAACTCAATGAATACTTTCTGAGCACCCCAATGTGTGCCGTGCCAAACAGAAACTGGGAAGGAAAGCTTCAAGTGGAGGAGACCCCAAGACACAGAGCGGGAGATTGAATTAGCAAAGTCAGATACCCAGGAAACCCGTCTGAGGATGGTGTCTCTCTCTTCTTCTTCCAGCATGGATGCACCGTGCTTTGAGCAGCTTGGAAATGTGGTAGCATAAGTACCTGAGGAAAGAAGAAATTTCACACTTAGCCCTGACGTGAGTTCTGTGGTTTAGGAGAACAGAAAACCACCTCGTGTGCAATCTTCAGGAGCCACGTGGAGCGGGGAGCATAGAAAACCTTTAGGGAAGGGTTGGAAAAGAAGTGTGAAAGGAGCACAGAGCTGTTTAAGAAAGAGCTAGTGGTTCCACTTGACTGGGGTACAGGGGAAGTCTTCGAGGAGGGCCCAGTGAGCACCAGCAGTAGCAGCACAGAGGAGCTCGTAGAGGAATAGAATTCAGATTCACCCAGAGAGGGTTAGCACGGTAACAAGGTTCTAGGGTAGGTGCTCTGCACACTGAAGTCCGTGAAGCATCAGAGGGCACTGCACATTCTGAGGTGGGCGATGTGCTCAGAATAGGAGCCGTCTTCTTTATCACTTGGGCAAAGAATCATACTTAAAATTGCCAATAGCTTTGCATTCTCACTTCCATTTCTCCTAAACCAGAGAAGAATCCTGCTGCAGACTGCCAACACCCTAGCTCCCTTGATGTGGGGGCTGCTTACAGAAGGGATAGCACTGCGTGGCAGGTTGTTTTCCGAGTGTAAGGAGAGGTGCACCTACTTCTCCTTTGTCCCTCCTCTTTCCTTCTTTCTCTTCCTCTTTTCTCGCTCTTTCCTCATCAATTGGATGGAGACAGCTACCTCCGTACATCCCAGTGATCTGGAGAGGCTACGGATCAGGTGGCATTAATAAATCTGTAAAAGAAAGATCTCAAATTGTTCTACAATTTTACATTTAAATTATTCAAATTTATACCCTTTTTCCAGAGATTAGCAATTAGTTAGGACCGAAGTTCTACATTAAAATTGTAGACTGAAAATTGTTTTAAAACAGTATTTTAAAGTTTACTGTTGTCTAACATATAAAAGCATTCTTGGTTTTTCTCTTACAGATCTTTCTGCAGGCAGCTAAATGCCTCAGAAATGTAAAGCCAGCAAGGCTTTGACAATACCTCCACATACTTTTTATGCTGTTTTTTTAATCAGAGGGCTTATGCAGCATTTCGGTGTAACTAAATTGCAATTATGAATTTCATTGTTCTGTAGTTCCTGCATAATGTGAAGTGTGGCTGCAAATTAGCATCAGCAGCAGCAACAACGAAAAACATCTGTTGCTTCATACTGGCTTTGTCAAAATAGTCGTGGGCAATGTCTATAGGATGCCAGGTTTAAGTCAGTTACATTACGCAGCTACCAAAAAACAGATTCTCCCATTTAAATCTGAGTAATCGAATGTTTTAAATTGCATCTAGATGTGCCTATGTGACCAGGAAATATATACGATCAATAGCGCAACATTATTTCAAATGTATTGCTTCCTGTGCGTAGCATAGTGAACTGCATCATGCGGCATCTTGCATGTAGTGGGTGTTCAGTGGACTCTGTTGGAAAGTGGGACAAACAGTAGGTTTCAAAAAAGTCACAACTTCCATCCACTCTGGAAACCCTGCCTTTCTCTGAATAGCCTGCATTGATTCCAGTCCACACGATCACTGTGTGACTTGATTTCAAGCGCCTTTTAACTTAAACAATGATGCTCTCTTGGGATATGTAGATGAGATTCAGTCGGAGAGTACAATGATGATAATAGGGGAATTAATCAAATCCCAGGAACTATCCTTGCCACTAATTCAATGTGATAGACTTGGGCTGATTACTCTACTGGAAAATATTGCCAGAATTTATCCTTTAATGCAATGAGAGTTTTTAAATCATAAAGCATCTCTTTCTGACTCAAAGTGCACAAGTGTGTCCGTTGTTTGCACAGAGGAGTCACCTTAGAATGTTGAAGCTGGGCAGTCCGCACCAGCAGGATGAAGGGTCTGTGCCTCAGGCTGAGGGATTGGCACTGGAGCCAGGAAGTGACCCTTAAGGTAAGGACCAGAGTGGATACCCCAAGAGTTGGAGGGTTCTAGGTAGAAGGGAGATCAATATCTGGCCAAGCAAAGTAGAAAAGAGTGCTTAGGGGTTAACAAAAGAGTGCACTTATAAATGGAAATTCTATAGATTCTAGAGTCCTTCCCTCATGGGTTGGGGTTTAAGGTTCTACAAATGAACATCTTTTTCCTGGATACATATAATCTCTCTTTATCAACACTCTTAGTTAAGACATACTAAGTCTGTAACCACATCCATACAATAATACCATCTCTCTGGCTTCTGTTCAGTTATTTGTAAATTATGTTGTAAAGATCACCCAATGTGTGCAAACATTACTGACTACAAAAACCAGGTTTATTGTAATAGCAGTGCTGATATTTGTTCCCCAAAAGGAAGTTTCTAGAATGTGAGCCAGGTTGGACCACTTAAGTTTCTCATACTTTCTTGTGCAGTCTTGAGTGGTATCCCTCTGCTTTTGTTTGTATATGCAATGTGGACAACGAAATTGCCTATGTTATTCATTTGATTTTAAGAACACCTGAGACAATACAAGGTAAAGTCTGTCACACAGTAGGTGATTAAAAATATTGGGCATTCCAATTGTTACTAAACATTTTGACAACCTTGGACATATAGAAATGAGGCACAAATATAGAGAAATTCCAGTAAAAGTAGGTATCACAAATTGCTTCTCCTGTTCAAGGCACTTTGCTAAAAGCTGAAAGTATGTTTCAATTTACTCTTCCCAAACACAAAGCAAGAAAAGGATTATTGTTCCCACATTAAATATGTGACTTTGGGGCCTAGAGCAGTTTGACAATTTATCTGAAATTGCAAAGCTCAATTAAGTTAAAACAGCAATGCTGAGATTTTAGAGCATCGTCTAATCCAAGCCACTGTCCTCTACCCCTCCCCATTACACACACGTGTGACTCCAGCTAGACACGAAAGCACAGTTAGGTAAGCTCACTCTGCATTGTGCATGATCGGTGCAGATAATCTTTGGACACAATTCTTCTGTCATACTCAGGGTTTACAAGGGGAAAGATTTAATACAGCACACATAATTTATAGAATTATTTTATAATATTCATTCAAAAAGTCAAGTGCAAGAATAGAGGAAATCTGTCCACACACTAAGACCCAAAGAATCCAGTGAAGGTCAGGATCCCATGGCAATGTCCTGAATGCGTCCAGCTGAAGACCCATAGCCCATGGCAATGTCTTCTGTGTGTCCAACTGGAGGCCTAGAACCCAGGACAGTGCCTCATGCAAGTCTGTATCAAGGATCTACACTGAGAAGGCCCAAAGGTCAATGGTGCAAACTAAAAAGTCTGTACCAGGGGGGTGAAGGAGCTGTGCCAGCAGGCTGAGGATTCTGCACTGGAGCCAGGAAGCAATACTCAAACTAAGGACCAGAGCTCCCCTGAGAAGTACCACAGCCATTCTCAGTGACAGCAAATAAGATGCAAGTTCCTCCAACGATGAGAACAACCAAGCTCGTATCAGGAAAACCAGCATGTAAGCTTTCCCAGAAGAATCAACATCAAACCATCTTCCCTCCAGTTCCGCTTCTATGCTGCAGGTAAGAGTTTTCAGGTGGGACTTCCACACCCAGCACCACACTGATTCAGTTCAGCTGAGTGTTACAAGCTGACCATTAGTTAACCCATCAGAATCTCTAATAGCACAGAGAGGAAATTTGTTAATCCTGTGCCTGAGGAAGGCAAATGTTTGTGCAGGTGAGATTGACAAAGACGAGGACAAGGGAAGGCAAGGAGAAGCTGGGCGTTTTGAAAACAAGCTTAGCCTACTTATAATTGTGCTGAACTAAACATGCCACGGTACTACTGAGGCTTTCAAATTGCCACTTCATTTAGTTATCCAGAGGACAGAAGCTGGGCCCCATGTGGGTTCAAATCTGCATTTTTACCTCTCGTCCTTCCCCAGTGTTTCAGCCTGGTACATTTTTTAACTTCTCTGTGCCTCAGATGATTTTTTGGTAAAGTAGGACTACACTCTCATCATCCATTAGAGCGACTTCAGGAAATAGCAAAGTCTGAAAACGTCACCTCTAAGAAATTCTGTATAACAGTTTGTATGAAACTCAGGCATGAGAATGTTATAAAACCTCCCTAAGCAACTGTAATATGCAGTGGGGAGTGACATCATCTATTGGGCATGAGAGTGTGTGTCCTTGGCACCCAAGTCCATCCTGATTTCATCATGAATGCTCGAGTCTAGCTCATTGCCAGGTGCAAAATGAGCATCCAGTACATTTTGATCAGCGAATGAATGCATGCATCCTTGATCAGGCATAGATGTGACTCACGTTTGATTCTATGTCATGTGCTTATTATAGATTTTGGAATGATATTCTTGGATTTTTAAGATGAATGCTATTCATTCTGAACAATGAGACTAATACTAAAATTCAGATAAATACAAACTAAACTGGTTTACATAAAAATACAAATTCACTGTCTCAGTTTTGATGAGTTGCAGGATGGTCCAGCTACAGGTTCCCATGATCCCAGAGCACAGGGCTCTGACTGGCCCCCATCATCTCTGGGCTCCTTTTCTGCACACAGACTTTTTTCATACATGGGCTGTTCCCTGGTGGCATGATTGCACCCGCTGCTTCTACTGGTCTCAGAGCTCTGTGTTTCTTATGATAGCCTATGACGCAGGAGTAGTAGCTCAATCAAAGCCCATGGACTAAAGGTAGAGAAAGTCCTATCCCAACAGAGAATCACAGTTCCATTATCAAAGAAAGACAGGGACTGGGTGATTCCAAATGCAGCAGAAGAGATGACATTGTATAGAGCTGGCTGTCCTCCTGGCCTCTGAAAGGAGGAGGGGCACAGCAGGAGCAGCCTCGTGAGGTCTAGTAGAAGAGCCCCTGGGCCCCAGCAGCACACCTGCCGTGCTGCAGTGACCAAGGGTTACTTCCCACAGGAGTCCGCTTTCATGCAAAGTCCTTAGTGTCTGGCTCCTCCTGCTGCCCTAATAATTGTCAGCCATGGTTAGAACTTATTGTCTAGACCAGTGGTTCTCCATAGAGAAGGGGTAACATTTTCCGTAGGGGATACTTGGCAATGTCTAGAAACATTTTTGGTGTCACACTTTAGGAGACAGATACGTGTGACATTTAGTGATTAGAGGTCAGAGATGTGGCTAATCATTCTACAGTGCACAAATACCCATTTGGAACCAAAAATTAGCCAGCGTAAAATGGTAGTAGTACCAAGGCTGAAAAATGAACCTTAACCTATTTACAGTAGTTTGGTGAAAGTTCTCTTCAATTTTATTCTCTTCCCACCCCACAATTATCCTGTTATCTGCCCACCGAGGTGACTTTTACAAATCTGGTGCTACTGTACCCCAATATAAGAGATTTATGATGCAGAAAAGTTCAAGTTCTGCTCTCTGATTCACAGGCTTTGAAACTCTGGTTCCCACTGACCTTTTGAGGCTTGCTCTCTCTATGCCCCACAAATTTCACTTCTCCACAGCAAATATTTTTTCTCACTGATAGACAACTGATACACTCAGTTTTCTTTCTTTTTGCTTTTTTTCTCTCATTTTGTGTGTGTGTGTGTTGATATTTCATCACAACTAATTGCTGTATCTACATTCTTTTCCTTAAAAGTTCTATGGAGCAGTTTCAGGAGTTTCTCCTTTTGATCCTCTTTCATTATCCTTCACTCATTAAGTAGCCGAGAATTTGTTGAATGACTTTTTTGAGTCAGGCCATGGTAACTTGGTATTAATTCCTTTTTCTGTAGAACTTAGAAACTTAGAAACATCAGGGA